TAACAAATTCAATAAGTTAGTCACCATTCCCACACGTGTGTTCATATTTTAGTTTAGATTTCACCAGGGACTCAACTAAATACAAAACAAAACAGAAGTAAAAAAATCTTCTTCACATTTTCTCAAGTTTTTTATCCCAACCAAGTTAATAAAAAATCTTAGCGAAAAAAAATAAAAACAAACTGCAATAAGTTGATGATTCTGTATTAAAACTCAAAAATGAAGTAATATTCCTATAAAGCAAAACAAATTTTTGTGACTTTTTTTTAATGTTAATCTTCTTTTTTCTCCTACACTTCACACACTCTTTCCACCGAAATCAAGTAGCTCGCCCTCGTAGAAATGTTTAATAAATGAATTCTAGTTTCAGAAATTAACTGATAACAACTCTAACTTGAGTTCACACAATTCAAGTTTTCCTTTAACCCGATTAGAAGGAATTATGAGAAAGCATAAGCTAACCAACGCAGCTTACTGATACCACAAAAACAACCGCATGTATAAGAAAGTCCCACGGTACCCAAACCCGAATGAGCCAGATTAAAACTGGGTAAAATATTCTTTTGAAACCGTTTTTCACTTTTTATTAAAAGTACATGAAGCACTAAAAACTTAAAAGAAAACCCAAAACACATATATCTAAATTTGGTAAAAGGACAAAACCAAAAATAAAAAAGAGAAAAAGTTCTGATAAAATAGAAAAAAAAATTGAACATGAAAAAAAACTCTGCTCAAAGAGATGGAAAAACTATACTCCCTCAATGGCCTCACTACCCATTAGGACGTCCCAAGCATGCTCTATAGCCGGCCTAACCCACCGCGCTACACCACGCTTATGACACGCACTTTTTTTTTGATGAAATTTGCTCTAGGGTGAGCTTTTCTTTAGTAACCAAAACTAAATAAAAAAGCTTTTGCGAAAACAACTAATTTTTATCATAACTAAAACTAATCTCACCAACAGAACATGATTAAAAAATCAAAAATGCAATTAAAAATTTTCTAGAGCAAAAGGAACGAGCAGCAAATAGAGATGAAAACTTGACGACATTTCGACTTTGGAATGGAAAATCTATAGTTTTTGTTGCCGCAGTCACAACCCTCACAGGAATTGAAGTATGGTTCTATCATCGCAGCAAAGGAACCCTTTGAAGAAAAACAATGACCAATTTTGAACATGTTCACACAATTCAAACTTTCCTTTAAATCGGTTGGAAGGAAAGTTTGAATCCAAAATAGAAAGGCCACAAAAATTAAGGCGAGAAAACTCAACGCGGTACAAAAAAATTCGAGTTGAGGCACTATGTTGACTTCACATACCAATCCTAGTAACTTGGCGTTTCACACAAAAAAGTCAAACTCCATCTTGCACGTAGTCGTGCTCTAACTTGCCGAAAGCAACACATCATTGCATAGACTGAAATCTTGACACGATCACTCAAGACGATCTAGGATCTCAAACACGAATAACTGTCTCTCCCTTTTCTCTACGCAGTCACTGCTTCAAGAACAAATTCTCCATTCATCCTTTACTGCGATATACGTTAAAACTTAAAACTCGTTGAGCCCCGGATGGGTGGAACCAGCTTAAATTTAGTAATTATATCCAATTACACTATTGATAAAACTAACTCTATAAAACATTTCCTAACTGACCAATCATTACCCAAAACTAACACTTACAATTTTTTCTAACGCTGAAACTATTCATAGTTTCAGCAACAGAACAAAATAAATAAATCTCCTTCAAGATAGTTCCTGATATCTGCAAGATTAGTAATTGATTAAGATTAGGAGAATTAAGATTGGTATTAGACTAAGAAATTGCACGAATCTATCCGGCCGAAATTAAGATAGCGTGACGAAGAGACGGTGTACCTTATCTGAAACCAATCGTTGAGTGAGCCACCACGTACTTAAACTCATTAGTTATTCAAAGTTTCCAGAAAAAAATCCAAGCGACTATGCCAAAATTGATACATTTGGAACTCAAATCCGAGTAAAGCTCCTTAGCGATCATTTCAGCTTTTTTTCTCACTATAAACGGAAAATCAATTATCAAGAAGAAACGGCAGCAATTTTTGAAATTACACGAAACAGACAGTCCAACATCGTGTGATGAAAGATTTTAATACTTAAGATTTTTTAATACTTAAGAAAATAATCAAAGGGACAGAAGAGAGAAAAATGACACACAAACAGTATCATGAAGAAGAGGTATCTTCTAAAAAGTGGAGATCTTTTTTGAGTGAGTTTTTTGGGCGAGTAATCATTTGATTTTTTTTTCAAATTTTTTAATCTTGGTTATACATACTATCTGAAAAAGACACCATCATTTGCAGCGAAAAAAAATTATTTCAAATAGTTAAAAGAGTTTTTAGTCTGAAAAATGCTTGTCAAACAATTACCTGAAATGTTTTTTGTCCTTTTTATACAAAATGTAAGATCCATGGAACCAAAGTTTTGCGTGACAGATTGTTTTTGGACTGCCTGGATGTTATAACCTGCATGTTATCACTTTCTTGGAATGCAAGTTTTGTTAAAAAAAAGAATGCATGAAATCCAGAATAATGGAAAGTCCAAAAAATTTAAGGTGAGAAAACATAACGCGGAAAAAAAACTCGAGTCGAGGCTAAAACACAGCAAAAATTCTGAGCCAACAAAATCAAAGTCAACCCGTAAAAAAGTTTGCTTAGTTGAAAACAAAAAACTTATTTGTAAAAAAAACTGAGTTGATCAAAAAAGAATAAAGTGCTGAAATAAACAGACGAAAACTATATTTTGAGACGAAATTTTTTTGCCAATAATTGTTAAAGGAGGTTATCTAAACAACCCGAAGCATAAACCAACAGAAACTAAGTCTGGCTAACTTTTTTTTCTAATTTTATTAATTAATAAAACACATCTATGCAGTATACTTTAGTGCCAAATTTGAAAATCAAGGGCACAATTTGAGACACTGGTGTTTTTCACATGTGTTTCATACCAGATAAGCAACAGCTTATTTTGCATCTCAAAATTTGTTCACTTCTAGACACTGCTCTTTGTACAAAAAACTTCTCATTTCACAACGAAGATGTTGTGTATCAGCTACAAAACTAAGATAAAATTACAAAAATTCACAAGGATAGCCGGCTACTGTGCAAGTAGCACAGAATGTTTCATATAATGCCTTAAAAATTACAAGAACGTTTTTTTTTTTGAAAAAAGTGTCGTTATTTTTTCGGCGTGGAGTACAAAAAGGCTAAAAAAATACTGTCATAATGAAAGAATCAAATTGAAAAACAATTTTTTTGTAGGAAAATGACTAGATCAAAGAAAAAAATACATTAAAAAACGTTGATAAATTTTTTTGAATATTTGAAACTTTTATTCCAAAAAAAAACGCAAAAACTCTCAAAAAACAAACTTTTCATGAGTTTAACTAGTTTTCACATTTTAAGTTAAGCTATTGCAAGCTTTTAGGCCATTGATAGAAACTTTTGTCCGCTCGAATTAAGCTTTCTTTATCCGCTCGAATTAAGACTGAAAACTCAAATTGGTTTTTCTCGACACTGGGAATTTTTTCTGAGTTTTTTCAAATTTTTTTGAACCACGACTGTAATGATTTCACAACGAGCTATCACTCAATTCTAAAAATTATTTGTGGTAGCTGATTTCGCGTGGAAAACAAAAAATGAACGAAGTAAATTGCACCCAATTACAAAATTTCTCCTCGTTTTTCAGTTGGTCTTAATAAAACGTTTCAAAATGGATTTTAAACACCTAGATGACGGACGGGAATGACGCGAGCGAACGTGATTCAAATTTCAAAATCTCGGTTATACATACTATCTGAAAATGACACCACCAATTGCAGCGAAATCCAAACAAAAAGACTATTTCAAATAGCTAGAACATTTTTAGTTTGAAGAAAATGCTCGTCAAGCAATTGCCTGACGAGTTTTTTGTTCTTTTTTATACAAAATAAAGTATCCATGGAACCCTGTAGATTTGTGTGATAGGATATTTGTGTTGCCCTGGATGTTATAATTTCAAGGAATGTAAATTTTGAATAAAATTTGTGAAGAAAATACAAAATGCTACTATAAAAAGAAATTCCAACGGGATGGATACATTCAGAAATTCAACAAGTGATGAAATTGCAAACTATTCTGCATGTTTTTTTTTTAATTTGATTTTTTTTTATTGATTATCGGTATTGACTATCCGTTCTATTTTGTTTCAGTTTTGATTTTTAAAATCAGTTACTTAAAAAAATTGAAGGAAATTATTTTAATTTTTGAAAAAAAAACAGTCTACATTTGCATTGTAGTTTGAGGGATTCGACCGTTGAGATATTATTCTGACCTCTCCATAAGTGATGCGACCATTCTTAAAAAGTGGCAAACAAAAATTGCGCTGGGCTGTTTTTGCGCCATTTTGAGTGAACTAATGTAATCTCGTCACGGTCACTCATTAGTTCTTCAGAATCCAAAAAAGATGAAAAAATCCTTCTTTGTTCAACCAAATAGAGCTACCTGATATTTTGCCGGAGCTACTTCAGGACGAGTCACTCATTCGGCCTACTTGTTGGCTATTTATGTTTTTCAATAGGTAACAGTCGACTTGTTTTTCACGCTGCCGTATCTAAATTTATGTACGATCAATATCCAACAAAAATTGTATTTCTTGTAAGATGTGTCCACAAAAAATTATCATGTGAAATCTCAATACTACAATATTATGACATATTTAACCAATAACCCACCCATCCCTAACAGACCAAACAATTAACCTTCCTCCTAAAACTAAATGGCAAATTCAAGCCATAATGCCTGCATGTACTATATTCTCATATCTAATTAGCTAACAGATATTATTTTTAACCAAGTGAACATTCCAATTCCACCCCCTAAATTGAGTTAAGACTGTTCTCGTGGTTTCAAGTTTTTACTATGAAACTTAAAAAAACACAAAAGGAAACAATTCGAGTTTGACTAGGGGGTGATTGTACTCACTGATGTCTGGACTCCAGAAGGTGTCAGGGGGGACTGTGACCACTCTGGTGTCCCCGTACTCACTCCTGTTCCAGCTGGCAGAGGGACAGTGGTAGTAGTAGTAGAGGAACAGCTTAGTAGTCCACAATTCGTTCCTCTCGTTCACGTCTACGATCTATCAAACGAAATAAAGTTTCAGTTTCATTTTCCGTATAACCATTTTCCGTATTCTGGGGTCTGTTTTACTTTTTTCTTTTTCTTTTTGTTTTCCATGCAAAATCAGCTACCACAAATCATCATCGGACAGAGCAGAGTGATATCTGATATTAAAGCCCTTTCAGCCGTGATTTGAACCGCCTTAAAAAATTTCAAAAACTTTTCCCCCGTGTCGAGAAAAACCGGTTTGAAACTTTTCATCTTTCATCGTATTTCGAGCGAATAAATTATTTTAACTGCTTAAAAGCTTACAATTGCTTAATTTAAAATGTTAAAAACTAATTTAATTGAGAAACGTTTGTTTACTTTGAGTGTTTCAGCATCTTTTTGGAATCCAAATTTTCAAAAATTCAATAAAACCAAAAACGAAAAAAATATATATATATTTTTTTCTTTTTCAAGTAATTTTCTGAAAAAAAAAGTTTTTCAATTTGCTTATTTTACTATAAATGTTGAGTTTACCTAATATTTAGTTTTTGGTCAGCTCCGTTTATCGGACCACGCCAAAAAACGACAATAATTTGAAAAAACTCGCTTGTACTTTTTTAAGACTGTGGTCGAAACACTCTGTGTCACTTGTACAGTAACCGGCTACCCTCGCTTCTTTTTGTTTTTGTTTTCCACACAAAATTAGGTTTCAAAATAATTGTCGGACATGAATGAGTGGTATATCAATTTAAAGCCCTCTTGGTCGTGATTTGAACCACATTAGAAAATTCCCGAAAATTTTTTCTTGGGTCAAGAAAAACCGGTTTGAAGTTTTCGGTTTTTTGTCTATTTCCAACAAATAAAGCATGCGATCAGTCAAATTATGCAAAACTTGAGCCATAAAACTTCAATTTTATGCAAGTAAGTTTAGTTTTTGGAGTTTTGAATTTTTGAAATCTTTTTAAATTTTTTTTTGCTTTTCTAGCCAATTTTCTTACAAATTTTTGCATCTAATTTGCTGATAATACTCTGATTGTCACGTATACTTAAGCTATAGTTAAACATCAGACTTTTTTTTATCACCCCACTAATTTTCCACTAAATTGAAAAAAAAAACATTTTTTTGAAGTTTCGTTTTCAAACAATGGTCGGGATATTATGCGTCACTTGCACATATTAGTAAATCAGCAAACCACGAGGTAACAAACTTTTTTATATAGTTTTGGTCATAAAAATTAAACCTCGAGGAGTTCGGTGATTTCCTTAAGATCCTTAAAATGGAGTGAATTGCTTTGCTGTGAGTACAGGAATTTAAAAAAAAAACTGGATGCTCGTACGAAGATGACGACCCGAATTTTGACGCTTCCCGGTAACGTGTGTTGATTTTGACTCTAAAAACGATAAAACTTTCAAAACGATTCTTTTTGAAAAGCATCGACCCACGCGCTAATTAAAGCACGAAAAGATATATTTAGCATTTAATTGTATTAGAACAACTAGCAGTCTCGTTTCCTTGTGAAACGACTTCTGACCTGATTAAATAACAGCCTACGCGTTTCTTAGCGCAAAATAAAGCGCACGTAAATATCACAAATTGGCTAGATTGTCATTTTTCATTTTCTCGTAATTTCAAAAAAATTATAGCTGGCTAGTCATCGTTTTAAACTCGAAACCAAGCACTTACACTTGATAGTATGCTTTATAGCTTCTACTGAGTCTTAAATGTAATTGTTCCCATTTTCAAAAAAAAGAGGGAATAATTGCGTGCAAAGTGTTGTTCTTTTTTCTCAGGAACAACTTCGACTTGTCTGACCTAGAATAAAGTTTCGTGTTAATTCTATACAAATCATACCAGTAAAAATATAGCAAATGATCTAAAAATAACTTTAGCAATTGTTCACCTACCAATTAAACTTGTAGCGGACAAAACAAGTATTCAAAAGTATGACAACTCAAAAGCAAGATTATTGATCCAGACGTCAAAATTGATGACAAGGAATATTTCAAAAAAAAACTATTGCAGCTTTTCAACAAATAAATTAGAACTAACGATTGGATCTGAAATTCACTCGAACAAAAACTAAAAAGTTTTCATTAAAAATTCCTAAAATATTTTTAAACAACTAAATTTGAAGTCGGTTTTGAAACACTAAGAAAACAAGCGGTAAAGACATTGAGTTTTTCCTAAGAATATCAGTTTTACAAATAGAACAATTTTCGTCGCATATTGAAAATCATAACATTCAATTTACATCCTTGCATATCGACATCAAATTAGAATGAGCTAATGATGAAAACTTCTACTATAAAAAGCAAAAATTTTATCACTCAAAATCATCTTTTAGGTAATACTGATCTAGACAGACGGAATAATGAAAAAACTGCTACGTTTTACAATGATTGTTTTCCGTAGAATATTAATTCCCTGATTTTTAATGACATCTTCTCAAAGGATAATCATTGAAAATTTCAGACCTAAAAGCAGTGATAACTCAATTTTGCTTATAAATTTTTTTTTAGTACTGCAAGTTGTTTGCAAATTATTATAACGTTTGCAATAATTTGTTAAGCCTAAGCCAATCACAAAAACTATTTGAGAAAGAAAACAAAATAAGAAATTTGAAATAAGGTAAAAGTGTCACTGCGCAAAAAATTTTCATGGTTAGCTTGTTTTGGCGTAGAATTACTATGGAATAAACATCAGTATCACAAACCATCACCTGGTTTTGAAAAATGGGCAAAAGAAAAATATACACCCTTTTGAGTTACAGATTTTAGGCCATGCGCAAGTTAGGTTTAACTAATGAAACAAAACCCGATGCAAAGTAGTCCTAAAAGTAAGTTGTGTGGAAGTACTTTTCAACCTTCCAACTCGTCAAAAAAAACGTCGAGCAATTATTGGTCTGATTATAATCGCACAAAATGAAGAAAATTTGTCTTCGCGGTGGTTGTTTCTCCCAACAAATTTCGACTTTTCAAGTAGCTTTTTTCAAGTAATTCTTTCAAATATCAATCTAGTTCAAAATTATTATGTCTTGAGTTTAGAATTAGGAAAAATATTTATCCTGTAATCTTTTATTGTAATTTTACGGAGGTTTAAAGGTTCTCAATTGGGCCAACTTGTGACAATAAAGGCTTGATAAACATCGTGCTTTTAAGGCATGGGCGGATTTTTAATCAGTCTGAGAATTCACTTCAATTTTGATCGACGCATGGCTTTTGGTTTATTTAATAATTTGCTTCATGCAAAACATATCGTTTTGAACTTTATAAAGCGTTTGAGATGTTTTTTGAAAAGATTGTTCCTTGAAAAAAAAAACAATTACTTTAATCTAAACTACTCCATGGAAATTAAAAAGTAGTCAAAATTATTTATTACAAAGTAGTCGGAATTTTCAGGGCTTTGCCCTGGTACGAGCAGTCTTGTTTATCTTGCTGCGCTTGCAAATAACACCATATCAGTTTTTCAAATTGAGGAGGTGGTCAATGCAGATAATAGTATCTAATTTCGTCCTGTCAGTTTACTCAATGTTCGAACCCACAACTTCGCCTGTGTTATCGTGTATTTTGCAACTCGATTAAATCAGAATGAATATATAATATTATCGAAAAGTTGTAATAACGTTCATTGTTGTTGAGAAGTTGAGATAATAAATATAATTTCTACATTTTTCCCCTCCCGGCCCAACCTATGATTTGACCGACTGGCCACAAAGCAAAGAAGTGTAAAACTTACACTTTGGATCGAAAAATAGTTTCTCAAAATTGAAGCGAGGTTCTTTTTCAGATGTGACATGAATTTGATTTAATCTGGATAGAAAAGTATAGCTTACCAGCTTGACCTCCGTACACCGAAAATGCTTGTCCATACACCAAAAAGAACAGTTTCTTAGATCAAATGTATGGAAAAAGGCTTGTCATACGATTTTCTTACAGTTTTGAAAACTGGTGAAAAATAATTAACCTAATTTCTGCGTCTGTTCGATTCTAGCAAAACAACTTGGTGATGAAAAAACCAAGGTTTTATAACCAAAAATTGCTTTTCACACAATTCCCATGTATTATAAGCAATTTTGAAATCGCCCCAAAAATATTTCTGTTTTTGTTTCAACGGCAATTCGAATTTTGCGCAATCAACTTCCGAAAAAATATATGTTTTTTGTGCATGACACTGGATACACTAAAGTGGGATTTTTTCCTTTTTCGATCAAAAACATTTTTCGAAAACGATGAAAACTCCAATTTCTTTTGTTTGGCAAGTTTGTCTAAGCCTTGATCAATGACTGATAACTTAAAATCAGAAATTCTAAAATTATTCTTTGTTGAAAAAAATGCCAAAATTCAAAAGTTTGTTCTTTCGTTAAACCATTTGTGAAAGATAGCAGTCAGACAATTCAGGTTATTTTCTATGCATTGTAAATGCACGACCGCCAACCTTTGATGCTATGTGTAAACCAATGTCTTTGTCACTTGTTTTGGTAATATCAAAGTAAATAAAGTAAGTATCAGTTTTAGAAAAAAATTGAGCTTTTTGGTTTATGGAAAAATGCCTGTCACACAGTTTTCATTTTTAAAAAAATGCTTATTGTAGAGATTTCATACAAATTTCTGTACGTTTTGAAGTGTTTGCTAAGAAGTTTCCAGTTCAATTTGATCAATGTATCTAATGGAGACCAGTTTTGTTGTAATTCAGAGTTAGATCTGCATACTTTCTATAGTTTTTCTTTGGTTTTTTTCTTCCTAATAAAAAAGTGTTCGACTTTCTCTCGAATAATTAAAACGGTTGAACCTAAAAGTAACTAAATCAATCAAACAAGAACTTGAGCATCATTTTCACAAGCAACAAGCGCGAATATGATGGGTAAACATGGAAATCAAAAATAATTCTATCAATGCGCCAATATGTCACTACCAATGCACATCACCGTCCTCTTAACCCGAGCCGACCGAACACTTTTATCATTCGACCGGTTTGGCCTTTTTGTAACTATGTTTGAATAACTTTTAAAAGCGAAAGCGTGAGATTTGTTTAAAAGTTCAATATTGGTTCTGTTTTGCCTTTGAATTACAGCTTATCAGAGCTGTGACCATCTTCATAGGATCTACAGGTGGGGGATAAAGATTTCTCTTTAAGTTATGGCGCTTATAACGAAGCTTATATACTTGATAACCAAAAAAAGTCCAGAGTTCCCTGAGACCATTTTGTTTAATTCAGAGTTAGATCTGCATTTTTTTTGTAGTTATTTTTCGGGCCCTCATTTTCACAGTCAATAAGCACGACTTTTGTTGCGTAAACAAGGATATCGAAAATATTTCTATCAATGCGCCAATATGTCACTAACAATGCACATCACCGTCCTCTCTACCCGAGCCGACCAAACACTTTTATCATTTGATCGACTTGGCCCTTTTGTAACTGAGAGAGAGTGAGAGAAAAAACACTTTATTGTTTCAACATTAATAGTCAATAATGTACATTTATATTAAACATTACACTTTATTGTACATTAATATTAAATACGTGAATGAAAAAGATGTTTTATCAGTCACTGAATGCATAAGAATATTTAAGACTCTCCTTAACTATGTTTGAATAACTTTTTAATGCAAGAACGTGATATTTGTTCAAAGATTCAATATTGGTTTTTGTTTTGCCGTTGAATTACAGCTTATCAGAGCTGTGATCATCTTCATAGGATCTACAGGTGGGGGATAAAGATTTCTCTTTAAGTTATAGCGCTAATAACAAAGCGTATATATTCGATAACCAATAAAAAAGATTCCAGAGTTCCCTGAGACCAGTTTTGTTGTAATTCAGAGTTAGATATGCATATTTTTTTTGTAGTTATTTTTCTGGCCCTCGTTTTCACATTCAATAAGCACGTCTTTTGGTGGGTAAACATGGAAATCGAAAATACTTCTATCAATGCGCCAATATATCACTAACAATGCACATCACCGTCCTCTTTACCCGAGCCGACCGAACACTTTTATCATTCGATCGATTTGGCCCTTTTGTAACTGAGAGAGAGAGAGAGAAACACTTTATTGTTGCAACATTAATATTCAATTTTGTACATTAATATTAAATACGTGAACAAAAAAGATGTTTTATCAGTCACTGAATGCATAAGATTATTTAAGACTCTCCTTAACTATGTTTGAATAACTTTTCAATGCAAGAACGTGATATTTGTTCAAAGATTCAATATTGGTTTTTGTTTTGCCGTTGAATTACAGCTTATCAGAGCTGGGATCATTTTCATAAGACCTACAAGTGGGGGATGAAGATTTCTCTGGTTATTTCTCTAGTTAATAAAAGAAGTTTTCGACTTTCTCTCAATTAATTGAACTTATAAGTAACTGAACCAGTCAAAAAAACTTAACTCAGACGGGAAATAAGTGTGCCGGTTAATTTCCTAAATCAAATACCTGAATTTGATTCTTACACCTCAACAACCTTGAAAAAAAATCAAAATCATTTTCTTAAAACTTATAATGAAACAGTAGTAAAAAGCAGTTTTCTGTAGTTTGTTTGTATTCAACTCAGGGGCGGATTTAGGCAAGGGGGCAGATGTTCCCATCCCCTCAGGGATTCCACACCCTCACAAAACAAAAGGTCCCCTTTGGTATTATTTAAATCATCCATTTTCTGTCGGCCATCCCTAGAAAAACTTTTAGGCGCCTTGGGCGCCAATATATACCTATTTTGCAGGGAAGAGCGCGCCGAAGAAGCGCAAATTTTTCAAAAACTGTCCAAAAACGGCATTTTTGACCTGTTTTGAAAAATGTGCCTGCGGCGCCAAAATTTTCCAACTCATACCTGGTAAATGTCCATCTTGATCCGGACTTCGTTGTAGGTCAAGTCCAGGGGTTTTATGAACCGAGGCAGATTCTCTTTCAGTCGGGCTATCAGCCTGTTTTCAACATCAACGCTATTTTCAGAATAATTTGTAGTTGTTTCACTCAAAATGAGGCCAAAATATAAAATAAGAAAAGAAAGTCGCAAGAAAAGGTCCATTTTTTCGATAAAGGCGTTTTTTTTTTATTTTTATTTGTAAGAATATTTTGAAGTTGGCTGTAGGCTTCTCTGAGATAAAAACAAACGCAGTTGAGGATTTAGAGATAGATTATTTGATCGCTTTCAGTCTTAAGAAATCGACCCCTTGATCATCAAAGACTTTTTCATTGTGAAAATAGTCATAATAACCGACCCTAAATCTTTAAAAAAGCGCTTTAGCTGAGAACATATGGTAAATTTGACTGGTAACTAGCAAACTTTCTCAATATATTTCTAGTTATTTTATAATAGAACGTTATCGGCATTTAAGAAAAAAGTGCAAATTTGAATCAAGTCGGTCACCTTTAATCCGCATACAAAATATTTTTCAGTGACGATAGCAAAATTAAATCAATTCAAAATCCCTCCTAGACCTAGAATTTCATCTTTGAAATTATGATAAAATCATCACTCGGTGTGTTTTTTGAAAGGGAAGCGTATAAATTTTTAAGCTTCTGGTAACTCGGAGCTGTTTATTTTAAGTAACTTCAGTTGTAATAAAAACTACTTATGACCGACGAGCGAGGAGGATAAAAGATATACTGTTTACATGTGTCGTTTGCTGTCTTAGTGAGTTGTTTTTAAAATTCTTCTTTTGTAGTTCGCCCCTAGGGTTTGTGTTTATTCCGCCAAAGTTCCCTCCTAAAGTGAAAACAGCAAATGGTAAATTTGTTCAAAATTCCAATTTCTTCATTATCCCCTGCAGATTTCCAATCACGAAAACACTAGGAAGTTATAAAAAAATAGAAGGAAAGCTAACTGTGCGTCTGCAAAGCACACTGTTATAACCGCAGTTTCGTAAACTTATTGATTTTTCTGTTGAAAATTTCTTCAATGGCTTTTCAGAAATGTGACAAGTGGCATCTTTTGTTAGTAGCGCTAAATTTTAAAGTGGGTTCATGTTATCCGTGTTTAAAGTTATAGTTTGACGACCATTTTTACATAACTCTGGCGTAGCTAGATTTTTTGGCGATAAAAGGAATTTCAAAAACTTTTGGCGATAAAAGTGATATTTAAGAGTAGCATCGTGTTAGCTTGCTTTGAAATATTGTTTTTACAATTTAAGTATTTCAGCATTTTTTTCATCTTCATATGATTTTTTTTCTACCAGAAAAATGAAAAGGTAGAACTTGAAAAAAAAACATCAAAACAAACTTTGATCTAGGAAAAGTAATAAAAATTATTACAGTGGAAAAAATAGCACTCTATGGAGAAAAGTTGTAGATTGTTACGGCAATATAATTCTTCAAGTTTGTTGACTTTCTTCAAAGATCTCTCAACTGACTCAATGTTCTTCGAGGTTCAAGGAATTAGCATTCTCTGCTCAAGTCCACAACTGAAAATTTACAATCAGATGTTTTTAATTGCTTCGGATTCAATTGAACTTGCAAGACGTCTTTAAAAACAACGGTGCCCGATTGATGTCTAAGTAGCACAGAATGTTCCAATCACAGTTTTTATCGCCGAAAATATGCCAAAAAACATTATTTTTTTTCTGTTTTGTTTTTTAGGTCATATGATTGACTCAAAGACTATAATGTTATATCAGAGTTGTATTTTTAAGACTGAACAAGAGAACATTAGACTGTAATTAACGTCCTGTAGTTGGAGGTTTATTTCTAACCTTTACTTTTGCGCTAGGTTTGAGTCTGAATAGCAATTTTTTTTCTGAAGATTTCCTGGAAACCGAATCTGAGTGAATGAGGCTTTTTGATCTGATATCAGAGTTTATATCTTATGAATTTAGCTTGACCTTTCTAAGGCTGGGCGAAAAGCAATCAATCTCGAATTTCCTTCATATCAGAACGTTACATGGTAGGAACAAAATTTGATCCAAAAGTTCGGAGACTTTACTCTAGTTCGGAGCCTTTACTCTTTACGCAAAGTTCTTTTTTAGATTCAAGTAAGCGTTTACCTTAATCAAACTGCATGCAAACTGAAGATTTTGCGTCTTTGAACGCGATCAGTTGACTCTATCACTTTACTTTTTAATACAAAACAAGTAGCTGAAGCTTTTTTGATCGTTTCAAATTGTCGGTTTCTTTCATCTCTTTAAATTGGGGATAAAACACGCTCCACTTTCAAAAAGCCATTCAGTCTAAAACGAGCAAAACGGTGAGCTCAAGAAAAATTACTAAATTTTCATTGCGAAACCGATTGGTTGCTAACGTCGCGTTTTTGTGTTTTGTGAGCCACACTTTTAGTTCCATGCACCCTATCAATCAGATTTTAGTTATTACATACTAAATTTTCTCGAGTTGATCGTTTTCAATTATTTTTTTTCAGAATTTTTTCCAGTTTTTTCTTCAAATTTTCATTATTTATTGTGGACTGTGGATAAAACAGAATCATTCCTGGAGGAAGTTGATGGTGTGTCAACTCCCCCTGCAGTGCAGAAAGTTTATGACGAAGGGCAACTAATACTTAGGCTATGAGAGAAAAAAGTTGGAGAATTACAAAAAAATTGTGCATAATATGAACTAGAGAGTTAGCAATACAGAAACAAAAACCAAAAATTGTTCTGAAGACTAACAAGAACGAAAAAATGGCGCCGCTAGAAGAAAAACTTACGAAACGAAGTATCAAGTCTAGGTTGTAAGGCGCCTTCGACAAACTGCTCAGTAACAATCAAATGCAATGCGGATAATGATTTATCAGCCTACGCGCCAGTAAATATTATACAAATTTTGCAAAAAGCTGGAAATGTCGATAAAAATTGATAATAGAAAAATGGAGAGGCGAAAGTAAGGACAAGACGCCTGCTGTGGCGTTATGTGACGACGATTGTATGAACCATACCTACGCGGATTTGTCAACTAATCAAAAGATACATGTTAAGTATAAGTTTAAAAACACTGGTGTGAAATGAAAAAATTAAGAATGCAAACTTATGACAATTATGATTGTTGGTCAACAAGAAGCGTTTAAGTTCGATACAGTGACAAAAAGTAACGCTGTTTCCGACATAGAGAGCCGAAATATCAATTTGGATTCTTTTCTACTTTCGTTCATTGTTTTTGTAGATTTGATTATCACTCAGCTCGTTTTTGAATTTTCGGACCAAAGTTTGAATGAATAAAGCAAGTCTCTTTTCTTAGTTTGCAATACGGCATACAATTACAACTATCCAATAGCAGTTTTTGGCTTCTCCTGCAACTTTTTACAGCCTCAACAACCAAATTGTTTTTTTTTTGTTAGTTTGTTTTTATGTCTATAAAAAGACCCTGAAACGTCTTTGTTGATATTATTGATGGCCAAAAACTGAAAAACTGGGAGGCAAACAGCCTGTCTACGAGATACGGTCTTAGTTGTTTTTGTTTTCAAAAATGCGGTCCGATCAATGGAATAAATCTGTATAAATATATATGGTTTTCCCTTTTTTTGCTTCGCCGAATAATGTGTTCTTTAGCGACCGACAAAAAAATCGAGTTAAAATTGATTGCCAGCCAGCGTTTTTCTGCTTGAATATGTTTTGCCTCTACTTTTTTTTAAAAGTTGCAAAATAGCTGTAACAAAACTTCACCTATTTGGAACTTCAAATTCCTACAAATCGTTTCAAAAGATCATCCCTGGCTTCTAGGAAGCAAGTTTTGAGGTTTTCTGCCTAAATTTGTTATCGAAAGTCGTAAATTAAATCAAATTGAAATGAGGAAAAAAATTGGTAAAAAAAACCAAGAAGAAATAAATATTCCGACTTTCGATATCAGCATTGTTACCGAAAGTCGGAAAATAAATCACTTTGACATGAGGGAAAAAATTGGTAAATAAATCAATCAAGAGTTTCAAGTTTATCTTTGATTTCAAGATCGGCCTATTTCAAACCTTGAGGTTTTTTTATGGAGATATTTTTCTAGCTAAAAGACAAATTTTTTGAAAGTGTTTACCTATAACAAGCAACAAAAATTATTCTATTTTTTTTTCTCGAAAATTTGTTTTTCTGCCTATTTAGGATCTGATTTCTTTGTAGGGTGTTGAACTAACCAATCAATCCCAAAAGAAAACATCCAAAGATTAGCAGAAAATTGAAAATATACAAAATGGTTTTCATCTAAAATAACATTTTTGTTTGTACTAGTGTCCAAATAAAACAAGTTTTTTTTTATTTATTTCAATTGAAAACAGCAGCTGAGCAATTTTATGTTCTTTTTTCAAACAAGTACTGAAAAATCAACGGATAGTTGTTATATGCAATAAATCAATTTCGGTGAGATGGTTTGTTTAGTTAGAATTTTCCCCAAATGTCCAAGTTTTTAAATCTTCAATCAGAAAAAAATGAATCAAAGAAATTTCAATTTGTAAACATACAAATCATTACCAAGCCTAACAATCACTGAGCGTTTCAATCACAACAAATATGAAAAAATCCGAAGTTTGGGACAGTTTCCTGAAATATTTCAATGCATATATCACATAGGCAGTTTGCTTCAGGAGACTCTTTTCTTTTGCAGTACTTCTTGATTATGACTTACGCCCTCCTCAAGTCGTATGGTGCTAATTCAAAAACTCTGTTACAGACGTCGAACTCCTGGTCCATAGTTGATTATTTGTCAGATTTGGCTTCAAAATTAGGTACGGGTCCAAGGTTTTCAGCATCATGAATAACAGTATTCTGTACTGCTGATATCCTCTCGTCTTAGTTTCACCAGTATAAAATTGCTGGGATTTTCAACAAGCCCCAACTCATTTGTTTGAAGAGTTGGGCAGAAATCAAATTTAACTTTTTCCTTGTAGAGTTTTGGGACCAAGCTATTTTCCCATTGTGTTTTTTCTGGAGTATAATGTTGAATAGAATAGCAAACTGACCAGATGAGAAGAATAGAGAGAAATGATTATGAGACCAAATGAAAAACGGAAGTAAACAAAATGATTCATCTTAATATACAAGTATGGAAGTAGTACCAACTATGGAATATTTTGCATAAAAATTCCATATAGGAAAAAAGTGTAGTTGTTAGCTCTCCTATAAAAATCCACATTTCGCTCTAAAAACCAATCTTCCAGATGGGACAAGCTCTCCCTAGATTCTAGTCATTAGATAATGTAAGATCGATTTTTATTTATAAATGCATCGAAATTTATGAAACTCTTGGTAACCCAAGATTATTGTGTGTAAGCTCATTATTCTATATGATCTTCATGTAATTTTAAATTCCATTTGGTTCTAATAAGAACAACTCTCAGTCAAATTCTGAAAAAACTAGATGAATTTATATACATACATCAAGAATTTGACTTATGTACAAGACTTTGTTCAAAGGAAATTTTTACTCAAGTGTTGATATATCAGGTACGAGTCCAAAGATTTCAGCATCATGAGTAACAGTATTCTGTATTGCTGATATCTTCTCTCCATCTTTTTCAACAGGTTAATTTTGTCGGAGCTTTTTGAACTGCTCTAACCCGTTTTTTTTGAATAGTTGGGTAGAAACAAAGTGAAATTCCCTTTTGTAGGATTTTTGGGACCAAGCAAATTTCCCATTTTTGGTTCGATTTTTTGAAAATTTAATATAATTGGGACTAATGTCTTTTCTGGAGTGCAATGTTGAATCGATTAGCAAACTGATCAGATGAGGAAAATTCAGAGAAAAGATTTTGAGATTCATTGAAAAACGGACAGAATGAGGAGTCATCTTGATATACAAGTTTGGAAGTAGTACTAAATATGGAATGTTTTGATGAAAACTCCATATAGTGAAATTGCGTAGGCGATATCTCTCCTATAAAAATCCACAATTATTTTCTAAAAATCATTCTTCCAGATGGGCACTGTTATGTGACAAGCTCTCCCCAGCTTTTAGTCAGATTATATTGGAAAATCGCTGGTTTTTTTTTTTCCAACGAGTTTCACGAAAAATTTAGTAACCCAAAATTATTGTGTGTATACTCGAAACTCTATATAATGTTCGTAGAACTTTATAATTCATTTGGTTCTAATAGGAACATCTTTTAGTCAAAGTCTGCAGAGATAAGACAAAAATATTTACTTGTATCAAGAAATTGATTCATGTACAAATTTTCTTCAAACACAATTTCTACTCAAAATTTTAAAATCAATTGGAGAAGATTTTAATAGGCTTAGTCGAGTAGTTCAACAGTTTTTACAATAGAAAAGAGCCAAGACCATGCCTAGTTTTGCAAAGAGTCGTCTAGTTTGCAAAAAAAATCAAGTTGTAATATCTAAGTTCTAATCAAAAATTTGCTTCTACGCAAACCGCAAAGTCTTGGTACAGCTTTTCCTGACAGAAATCGAGAAATTCAATACCAAAATGTGAATCTTATTTGTTTTAGATTAATGATTATTTTTTTGATGATCATGGTTATGTGCATAG